GTATTCTCTAATAATTCTTTGTATTTCTGTGGTGTCTGTAGTGATTTTTCCTTTCTTATTTCTGATTCTGTTTATTTTTTCTTGATAAGTCTGGCCCAAATTTGTTTATTTTCTCAAAGAATGAGCTCCTTGTTTCATTGATTCTGTTGTTCTATTCTTCTCGATTTTATTTGTTTATGCTCTGATTTTTATTATGTCCCTCCTTCTACTGTCTTTGAGCCTCATTCTTCTTTTTCTAGTTTCATTAATTGTGAGTTTAGACTGTTCATTTGGGGTTGTTGTTTTTTCCTGAAGTAAGCCTATATTGCAGTATACTTAGCATGGCCTTCACTGTGTCCCACAGATTTTTGAGGTGTTGAGTTATTGTTTCTTTTTTCTCCATATATTGCTTGATCTCTGTTTTTATTTGACCATTGATCCATTGATTATTTAGGAGCATGTTGTTAAGCTTCCATGTGTTGGTGGGCTTTTTTGTTTTCTATATGTAATTTATTTCTAGTTCATACCTTTGTGGTCTGTGAAGCTGGTTGGTACAATTTCAATCCTTCTGAACTTACTGAGGCTCTTTTTGTGGCCTAGTGTATGATCTATTCTTGAAAATGTTCCATGTGTACTTGAGAAGAATGTGTATCCTGCTGCTTTTGAGTGGAGTGTTTTATAGATGTCCATTAGGCCCATCTGTTCTAATGTGTTGTTCAGTGCCTCTGTCTTCATACTTGTTTTCTGTCTGGTGGTTCTGTCCTTTGGAGTGAGTGGTGTGTTGACGTCTCCTAAAATGAATGTGTTGCATTCTGTTTCCCCCTTTAATTCTGTTAGTTGTTGTTTCACATATGTGTGCTCCTATGTTGGGTGCATAGATATTTATAATGGTTATATCCTCTTGTTGGACTGACCCCTTTATCATTATGTAATGTCCTTTATCTTGTTACTTTCTTTGAAGTCTATTTTGTCTGATACAAGTACTGCAACTCCTGCTTTTTTCTATTATTTGCATGAAATATCTTTTTCCATTCCTTCACTTTTAGTCTGTGTATGTCTTTGGGTTTGAGGTAAGTCTCTTGTAGGCAGCATATAGACAGGTCTTGGTTTTTTATCCATTCACTAACTCTGTGTCTTTTGATTGGCATTCAGTACATTTACATTTAGAGTGATTATCAATAGATATGTACTTATTATGCCATTGCAGCCTTTAAATTTGTGGTTACCAAAGATTCAAGGTTGGCTTCTTTATTATCTAATAGTCTAACTTAACTCACTTAGTATGCTATTTCAAACACAATCTAAAGGTTCTTTTTTTTCTTCCTCCTCCAGTTTTTATATATTACTTGTCATAATCTGTACTCTTTGTGTATCCCTTGACTGACTTTTGGGGTAGTTGATACAATTTTGCATTTGCTTAGTAATTAATTGGTCTACTTCCTTTACTGTGGTTCGTTTTCTCTGGTGACAGTTATTTAGCCTTAGGAGCATTTCCATCTCTAGCAGTCCCTCCAAAATACACAGTAGAGATGGTTTGTGGGAGGTAAATTCCCTCAACTTTTGCTTATCTGGAAATTGTTTAATCCTTGCTTCAAATTTAAATGATAATCTTGCCAATTAGAGTATTCTTGGTTCAAGGTCCTTCTGTTTCCTTGCATTAAATATATCATGCCACTCCCTTCTGGCCTGTACGGTTTCTGCTGAGAGGTCTGATGATAGACTGATGAATTTTCCTTTGTATGTGATCTTTTTTCTCTCTGGCTGCTTTTAATACTCTGTCCTTGTCCTTGATCTTTGCCATATTAATTTTTATGTCTTTGTGTTGTCTTCCTTGGATCCCCATTGTTGGGAGGTCTGTGCACCTCCTTGGTCTGAGAGACTCTCCCTCGTTAGACTGGGGAAGTTTTCAGCAATTATTTCCTCAAAGACACTTTCTGTCCCTTTTTCTCCCTCTTCTTCTTTTGATACCCCTATAATGTGAATATTGTTCTGTTTGGATTAGTCCCACAGTTCTCTTTATAGTCTTTCATTATTAGAGATCCTTTTTTCTCTCTCTGCCTCAGCTTCTTTGAATTCCTGTTCTCTATTGTATTTACTGTCTCCTCTATCTCATCTAATCTGCTTTAAAATCCCTCCACTATATGTTTCATTTCAGATATTGTATTTTTCAAAGTTTCTCTTTCTTGCCACCCTCCTTGAGGTCTTGGGTATTTTTTGTAACTCTATGAGCATGTTTATGATTTTTATTTTGAAATTTTTATCAGTAAGATTGGTGATTTGAGTTTCACTTGGCCCTCTTTCTGGTGTTTGTGGGATTTTGGTTTATACCAGGTTCTTTTGCCATTTCATATTTGTAATGATTCCTATGGAATAATAACTTCATGTAGGTGGTGCCCTTTAGTGCCCAGAAGCTCTAGTTTCTGGAGCTATCCAGCACATGCAGTGATGGTGGGGTCCCAGGCATGCGGTGCCGATGCCTGCCAGGAGGAAAGAGCTCTTCTCTGCTTCCTGCCTGTAGTGCCTGCCACCACTGCCAGGGCCAGTGGGCCGAGCACACAGGGGTGGGCCTCTGTGTTGTGCCCCTATAGCTGCTATAGGCAGGGCCACCCTCTGGCTGACCTGGTACAATGGTGGGAAGCAGGTTTGCATACTGATGCCAGCTGGTAAGAAGGAGCTGCAGGCTGTGTGTGGCAGTGGTGGGCCTCTGCGCGTATCCCCAGCCAGGGTGAAGGAGCGCCTGAAGATCCTGAAAGTTCACAACCTGCTGGGCTGAGTGTACCGGGACGATTTTGTCCACCTTTCTACTGAGCAACAAGCTGTGTATAATCCTTGCCCCTTTAGCAGCCCTCTCGCTGTTGGTAAGTCTTTCAAAGTGCCCACCTTTCTTTTGTCCTGGAGTGGCTGGTTGTGGGTATCTGTTCTCTGCAAAAGGCTGGAATCTCAGTCTCTCAGAATATTCTGCCTATCTTTGTTTTCCAAACCCACTAATCTCCAGAGCACCATGTAATGAGGGTTCGTGCTTCCAGAGCAGATCTCCATGACTGGGTGTTCAGCAGTCCTGGGCTTCTACTCCCTCCCTGCTCCATTTCTCTGTCTCTGATCAGTGAGCTGGGGTCAAGGGAGTGCTTGGGTCCTGCCATATTTCAGCTTTACTACTTTACGCTTTTCTATGAGGTCTCCTCTTTTCCCCAAATGTAGGCAGTCTGGCCCAGTCTTCTTTCTGGCTGCTCTTTCAAGGGTAGTTTTATTTGCTATATTTTCATATTATATGTGGCTTGGGGAAGAGGTTTCTTTCTCATTTCTCACGCCGCCATCTTTCTCCTCATTTGATAACTAAGATTTCTAATGATGGAACCTACAGGAATAATCCAGCTCTGTCAGAACTGTGATTGGGAAGAGATGCCAAGTGAAACTAAAAATGAGTCTTTTGGGGACATCTTGTGCTAGAGATAAAGATTTTGAAATAACAACTTGCAGCTAGTGTAGATTTTACATCTTTCTTTGTTAAAAGACAACACAAAATCAGGTTATTTTCAAGTGTACAGATACTGTAGCAAACCTTCCATTGGTTATTTATTCAAGAACTGTATCAGTTCTTTAATAAGAGCAGCTTTGCTTTGTGTTCTCTCAATATCTTTGTGGTAGAGAACCCCTTGTTATTTCAGGCCACTTGGAATAATTGGTCTTTTAATATTTTGGATATTGGTAAAGTTTTCCTTAACCTGGAGAGACAATGTGATGAGACTACATGCTTGGTTGGCTTATTTTCTCTTTGCCCTCAGGTTTTCAATTCTATTAATTTGTCAAGATCTATAGTCAAGCAGGTCTATAGGCAAACTGTACAAATTACAAGGAAACCTAAACCTCCTTAAGGGATTTAAAGTACAGAATAATGTTTATGGTATACTTTCATTTGCATAAAAAATAGAAGTACTTGAAAAGGTATCTAAGCCAAGAGGATCCTTTCCTTATGGCATCTTTTATCTTAATTCAACCAATTAGCAAACCTTAGAAAGGTATTCATATTAATTTTTCCCCCTTTTTCTCTTATCCAAGTCATTGCTTAATTGCCCTTCACTTTGTCCTTTTTCAGACCACCTCTATTAGTTTGCTAGGATAACAATGTCTATACTCCAGATTGGAAATGTGAGTTTAGTGTTGCACATCATGTTTCCTAATCCCCAGTCCCTAACAATCACAGAGCGTCTTCCTGGGTGGTGCATTAGCTGTTGGACATATGTTCCCTTGCTTGATTTAAAAAGAAAGAATTCTTTATATTTGAATATGTAGAATTTTGAATTTGATCACTTAAAATTCATCTTAATAGGAGAATTGGAGATGACAAAGTTTATCATACTAGATTTGATTTTTATCATTTACTTTAACTTGAGCACATATGATTATACGTCTAGCCTATTCCTTATTTTTTTATCTATTCAACTTAAATATGTAAATGTGTGTATGTGTGTGTGTGTGTGTTTTAAGAATTTTAAAATGCTAGGAGCAAATAAAAAAGCATACCAGGGAGAATATTTATGCTAACATGCTGTGTCACAGTAACTGCTGTCACTCATCTTTGCTAAGAGATTAGGGGACCCTTGGACTTGTGAGACCTTAAACCATAGAGAATGATCAGAAAGTGAGGGAAGGCCTGGATAATGTGAATTGTCTTCTTTACAGATATGCATTTATATGATTGAAAACTTTATCTTAGAAGAGAGAAAAATGGTTTTCTTTTTTCTCTTTTAACATTTTAGTTTGACAAAATATGAACTTCAAAAAAGGCATTGTTTTTCATTATACATTTGTATTTGTTGAATGAATAAATTCAGAATTGAAATGGGAAATGCTATTCAGCATTCTCCCATTGACCTATGAGGATTCTTCCATATTTTAACATTTCTGGGTTCTGAGAAGAGAGGCAGAATAGTGTACAGAAAGCTAACTTACATGTGTTCTGCTGTTTTCATATGTAAATCTCTCCTCTCTCATTTTATTTTACATCTTACTCTCCTTCCTAGGTGAATGGAGGCATTGAGAACACATTAGAGAAGGAGGTGGTGCAGTATGACTACTATTCTTCTTATTTTGATATATTCGTAAGTATTTTCTCTTTTATATTTCATTTCAGATATGATGAAAATGTAACCAAAAGGCAAGTTTCCTCTCAATAGATCTCAAATTCTGTGCCATTCCATTTTCCTCCCTTGAACACTATTTTTCACTTTTCCTTATTTACTGGTCAATTCAGTGCTCTCTCTCACTAAGGAATGTGTGATCTTCTCAAGGAAAGAAATGATTAATGAGAGAGAAGGGAAGGACCAGAAGGAGCCACCCTGATTTTCTTAGGAGACAGATGTCTAGGAGACATTTTCTAAATGGCAGAAATAGAAGCTATTGACTTACCCTCACCACTAAAAGGAAAATTCACCTCCCAGGGTAGTAACAGGATGAAAATGCCATTTCTTTTCTGCCTTGAGATAAGTTTCTGAGTGTATTCCTAATAATAATTCTATGTATCACTTTTCTATAGTAGGAGTTTTTGAGGGAAGTTATTCATTGGTAATCTTGGGCAACATTAGTCAGTTGACATAGATGCAATTATTTATAGATGAGGCATTCATTTTATTCAAATGAATGCTTGCAGCACCTTTCTGAGATACACTGTGACTTTGATGGGTTTGATAAACTTCTGTGGTATCTCTTCAGAGTTGATAGTGTATATAAATCAAATTCTAACATAGCATAGGCAATTGAAACTCACAATGAATTCCCCCAAATTCATTTTAAATACTTTATTGCCTTTAGAAGCTGTATGACAATGGTTAATTGTAGAACCCTTAACGTCAGACAACCCTGTGTTTGATTCACAACAGTATCACTATTTGTATATCTGTGAATATATTAGGTCTAAACTTCAGTTTTCTCATGTGGAAAATGAGATCATCATAGTTCTGAAAAATAAATTAAATAATACATGGACAACACTTAACCCAATGATAGGTACATCCTGGAGGCTCAGAGAACCGCCTGCAATCACTGTCATCTTCAGTTGAGAATTTTAGTTTTGTATTTTTGAGTGGTGTTCCAATTACTATAAAAGGTCTTCTTCTCTGGATTTGAAGGGGCCCGCCGAAGTGTGTATGGAAAAGAATGTGGAATTCCCAGTAAATAGAGATCAGGATTCATTGTCATCCTCCCCTTGCAATCTGAGTAGTTCCATTTTTATCTGTACTGCAAGTTAGGATTCCAATAAGGTTGTGTTGAAAAAGTGTTTGGCTTCTACAGACTATTTGGAAGACCAGTGATATAATTTAATCCCCTCATTTTTTCAGAAGAAGTTGAGTTTTGTGGTTCATGTCTTAACCTACCCTATGTCCTTGGAGTTGCTGGCAGAGCATGTTAGATGCCAAATCTCTTGATATTTCTTTCTTCTAAAACTATTGACATATAATAACAAACTTGATTTCTCTTATTTCCCTTGCTGAATTTATCTTAAAATAGCCTGAACCAGGAATTGCCAGGAAGCCAGGTTAATTTACCTGCCAGATCCCTGGGGTTTTCTGTCCTCCATGCTTAGGGAGTTAATGGTACTGGACAAGTAGGTGGGGCTCATTCGCTTAGGTTGGAAAGACTGTCATGTCTGGCTTGGAAATGGACACAGCCTCCAAGAAGTCTTTGGATTTGGGAGACTTTAGATAGAAGGATGAAGACATGCACTTTTGCTAAGTCCAGAATGGAGAGATAGAGCTGGAATGAATAGGGAAGCTAACTGCTTAGTGGAATGTTGGAAAACACATTCTTAAAGAAAGCAGCAAATTAAAAACAAATTTAACCTACCAACTTCATTTTCGTAAAAGATTCTTAAATCAGTCATGTAGTCAGTGGCAGCAAAGACCCCAGCCTTCTGGCTTTTGATTAGTGAGAAACTTCCAGCAGACGCTGACGCATTGCTCAAGTCACCTTACCTCTTCCTACTGAGACTAAGCATATTTCCCAAGTAAAATTGGTAAAATTTTATTCTACATTTATTCCTTACTAGATGAGAGTTGCTAAAACAGCTGTGGCATAATGGTTAAGAGCCTGGTCTTTGGAGTCTGACCACCTGTACTCAAATCCTGGCCTTCTCACTAAGGAGCTATGTGGCCTTGGATGAAGTATCCCACCTTATGTGGGATAATGACAGTAGTGGACCCCTGAGGTTGTTGGAGTGAGGATTACATGGGATGATAATGCTCATAAAGGGTCCCACAGAAGGTCTGGCACCATCTTGAGTAATCAGATGGTAGCTACTGGGACAGACCAAACTGCCAGCACCCCAGTAGCCCAGAACTATGCTGTGGCCTTCACTGAGAAGCTGTTAGCTCCCCAAAGTGAGTGAGTGTACCAGGGGTGGGAAAGCTAATTTTCAGAACATTTTCTCCAGTCTTAAAGGACATCAGAAATATATGCTGACTCAAATAGAAAGGAAAATAAACAATTATATATGCGTTTGTTGATAATGGGAAGTTAATTTGAATCCTTACTTGGGTGGTATTTCATAAATTCTAGAGCAGAGATCCCAAATGCTGATCTATACCCCACTGCCAGTCTGTAGTACTCTTTCAGGGTTCTTCATAAAATTAAATCACTTTATGTATACTTCTTAAAACTTATGTTATTGGTTTTTTTTTATAGCTTTTGGCAGTTTTTCGATTTAAAGTGTTAATACTTGCCTATGCTGTATGCAGACTGCGCCACTGGTGGGCAATAGCGGTGAGTATGTATGAGTGGGCGGTTCATCTCCTCCTGTGCTGGTGGCCAGGGCCTGTTCACAGCAGGGCCGAGCTGGGAGAAGAGGCCGTGTTCATCTGAGTCAAGTTCTGCTGGCTTTTCCTGAGTCCCCTTCTTCCACACTTCAGTGGGTTTAACATTCCAGGGTGCCTTTCCAATGGCAGTAACTAGCTTTATCGCTATGGATACTGAGCCAAAATAGGAATCTAGAGGCCCAGCAGTGTTTATTGGCCAACCACCAACCCACTCTCTGCTGCATTTTGCAAATGAGAGATGAGATAGTACATCTGTCACAAAGATACCTGGAAAATGTCCTGTTAGGATGAAACTGCTTGGTGGCTTTTCATGACTTGCTGTGTGCTTAGTTTGGCCTTCCACCCTGTTTTATCTCCCTTCCTTCAATCTTAAAGGGAAAGACTTCCACACTCCATTTTATTGTTGCCTTTGGGCTTCTTGAAGGCAGGGGCATTTTTACTCATCTCTGTTTCCTTGGATCTTTGGCAGATGCTATTCACCCTCAGTTAATAATGAGTGTTTGAAAGAACTGTAAGCAATTCTGCCTGAATTATTTTTGCCATTTCCATAGTCTGAACCCTCTCTTGTTGGAGAGTCCTAATAAGGCAGGCATATGGGGAGAATGCTGAGCTCCTCAGCTGGCGAGGCTGCCCAGGAATAGCCTGTCATCCTGCTTCTGGAGTGTGAGACCTTGGTCTGTCGGCCGACACTGGCTTGTCCAGCTGGGAGTGGAGCTGTGGCTCTCTCTCCTAACATGGCGTCCGCCAGGGGCCACACCTGCCTGGGCTGTCTCTTCTGAGGATCCACAGTGCCGATGTCAGCCCATCCACTGGGCCCCCAAGCTCACGTTTCATGGGTGTAGACTTCATTTAGTCAGACTTGACTCCCTGTCCTGAATATGCATTTGCCCATACCAAATAGCTGGGATGATTGGTCCTTCCCAATTTTCTACAGCAGTCCTTATTGGGACATTCTATTCCAGAGTCTCTGTAATGTGCACTAGTATTTATTAGAACATCTGTCTCAGTGTTTGTTTCAGAAAAGTGGTTTCTTTTTGAGAAACTATCTTCAATATCTACTTTTAGATTATTGAAGGGACTGGTCAGATTTATCACATCCATTTTACTGTGTTTGAATCTTGTTTTTAAAAACACTCGCAGAGAGGGGCCAGGCAGCTTGCAGGAGAGACAGTCAGCTGGTACCTAAAAAGCACTGCAGTGTCAGCCTGTAAAGTTGATCAGTATCAGAATGTAAACTGCCTCCTCTCCCACGTAGCTCACTCTGGCTGGAGTGTGGGGGTATGTGTTGGTGTTGGTTGTGTTTTGCTAACAAATACTGATTCTGCAACTTTGTTAATATGAGCATGACACTGGATGTCCCCTGGCTTCCATTCTGTCAGCCAAAGCTACTCTTGACTTTCACTTGAGTCAGGTTCCTTATTAGTTGGAGGCTGGCAGGATAAGGGCCTGGTTGTGTGGGATTATCTGTGGGCATCCCAGCCCCTGGGGGAGCTGTGCCTCTGCCTTTCACTGGTCCCTTCTGTGTCGATGGCATCTTTGGATGCTCTGCCTTCTGCTGTACAAAACTTACTTTCCTATCACCCCACCCACTAAACCAGTTAGGAATTGGGTGCCACAGCAAGGCCCACCTGGCCCAGTCTGGGTGTAGGGCATAGAGAGAGGAACACAGGAAGGAGCCAGGCCATGCATAGCTTTTTCAGGCATCATGTGCTCCTGGCTCAGGGATCTCTGGTGAGGAAGGTGTCTTCACAGTGTAAAAGTTCTAATTTGAATGGTGCTGGATTATATGTCTTTCAGTTAACGACAGCAGTGACCAGTGCCTTTTTACTAGCAAAAGTGATCCTCTCAAAGGTACGGCCCACCCCTCCTCTGTACAGTTACCCTCTGTAATGACAAAGCCTTATTTTCCAGTGCCCGTAGTAACTGCGTTTCCCTCTCCTGGTCACATCTGTTCTCAGCTTTTCTCTCAAGGGGCTTTTGGCTATGTGCTGCCTATCATTTCATTCATCCTCGCCTGGATTGAGACTTGGTTCCTGGATTTCAAAGTGTTACCTCAAGAGGCAGAGGAAGAAAACAGTAAGTTTCTCTCAAAGTTAGCCCCCTGAGACTGGCTGGGAACCAAGGTGGAAGGAAGAGCTAGAGATGTCTTGATCTGAGTGGACCTGCAGGCAGGCGGGTTGAGGCAGATCTCAGTGTCTGCATTCATTAGTGGGCACAGCAGAATTTGAGGGAGGGTTGGATGAAAGGGTAGTGACAGAAAGTGGCTCTCTTTCCAGCTCTTAGGGCAGGCTTCCCTAGAAGAAAGGGTGGATGCTGGTGAAAAGACAGGCCAACAACAAACATGACCCAAACCTCTTCCTCCTCAGACAGGTCTCCTCCTTTTCTTACTATTAATAATAGTCAGGACACTAAGCATTTTGTGTATCTAAACAGAATGGTTGTTTAGAGACAGAAATGTGAAGCAGTTAGTGTGCTGAGGTAGCCATTCTAGAAGTTAGTGAGTCTCCAAAGTCTCATGTTGCTATCCATCCATACAGCAGGTGGCTGCTCTGAATGGATGACAGAACAGTTGAGTGCCTAGAGTGGAACTGTCAGTGGGTTAATGCTGAAGACAGAGTGCACAAGGAGGAAGACAGCAAGCCAGAGAAATGCCAAGCCGTCTCAGGCTTTCACCTTCCTCTGGGTGGCTGTGTGACAGCAGCATTCTGTAATCATGAATCCTGCCAAAGCTGTTATAATCTCTATCAGTGGCTTTGAGCATCCCTGGATGTTGGCTAGGAAGACCAAATGGTTCTTCTCCCTCTGCATGATGGCCCTAGGGGAAGCCCATGCACTCCACCCACCCTCCTGGAAGTGTCATGATCAGCTCTCAGTGCAGAGACCCAAGCAGTTTCAAGACATGATCACCTTGCATGAATTTCTCCCTGTCGGCTAGAAACAAAAAGCCTTTGTCTAACAGAAAGTTAGGCATGATTATAACCTCAAGGAACAGCAGAATAAATTACCTTGCAAATGGTTTTCTTTTGGAAAATCTAGTTTTCAGAGAAGAAATCTATAAGAAAAGAATTATTATTTCAGAGTAGATTTTAAAACATATTAATCAGACTAAGATGTGTCTTCTATCCTATGCCTTCTATTCCTATATGAAAATATATTGTGGAGAGGGAACAAATAAAGCTAATGGAAGTCACTTTAAAAACTATATACAAATAATCAAATTGAACTTTATTGAAAGCATTATCAACTATTAATGTGTCGGGCTTGAGTACTTAAGTGATTAAACCAAATTCAAAGTGCCTACTGAATAAAGCAGAATACACAATTAGTGGAAAATTTAAAACAGCATTTATTTTCATTATCTGTAGCACTTGTTACACACATGTATTATGCGCGCGTGTATACCTGGCATCTGCTGTTTGGCCTGGTGCCCCCTCCAGCTTCATCTCTCAGCCAACAGATCTCACTGTGGATGGCCTCTCATCATGTGTTCGTGTTCTAGAGCCATCTGCATCTTGCTTCCTTCTTTTTTCATTGTTTTTTTTTAATACTCTTTTTTTTCCATGGGAAACTTTGGATTGAATAAATCTTTCTTCACCATCATCATTACAATTTATGTATTTATAAAAGGCCATCCACTTATTATACTTTACATCTGGTGGTTCTCTGACTAAATGCAGACCATTGGCGTGAGCTGACCGGGTTTTTTATTTTGCTTTGTGCTTTGGTTTTGGTGGTGGTGTTGATTTCTGTAGGGAGCAAGGTATTCCCAAGGAAAGGATGCCATAAATCCTGATTCAAAGAATCCCATGAGTAACAGGAGGCAATTTTTTAAACTGGTTGGAATCTGTCCCTACAATACTGGTTCCTACTTTATTAATAAAACTTATTTTTAGTTTGAAAGATTTTCAGAGGACCTTTTTGCTAAGACTTTTAATGTAATAATGACACTGTTTTATTGTGGTTAACCTTGCCAAGAAGGTACCGGAATAGTGACATATTCCCAGTATCTGTATACATTCTCTTCCAGGACTCCTGATCGTTCATGACGCTTCAGAGAGGGCGGCCCTTATACCCGGTGGCCTTTCTGATGGTCAGTTTTATTCTCCTCCTGAGTCTGAAGCAGGTAAAAAATTTGTTCATCATTTGTGTGTGTGTCCATCATTCAGAAGCTTAGCCCTTTCTCTCCTCCCCTCCCTCTACTTCTCAAAACACTTAGCAAACATTTACCGTACCAGGCTTTTAGGATATGAAAATAACTAAGATGCAGAGATGTAAAAATAAATGCAGTACAAGGCCATACACAGTGTGATTTGTGATCTGTATCTCAGAAGACTGGCAGACAAGGGGAAGGGTCTTGACGATCTCTTTATTACCTGTTTGTTGTTTGACTATTACGATCTCCTCCCCTAAACTGGCCTTCCTCCAGGATACCCTGATTGAGAATGGCTGCACTGTCTGCCCAGTTGCCCAAGATAAATACCAGAGCCTCACTGGGCACTCTGGCCCTTTCTTATGGCTCACAGCTGATCATCACAATGCCACTCTGATCCTCTTTGTTTCTGCCTCATTTATCTCACTTGAATTATACTCCATACCACTTAATATCATCTCCAACTTCGGTTGCTCATTGCTTGCTTCAGTTTCTGCAACAGTGCCTGTCTCCCTGCCTCACCTGCCTTCTCCCAACTGGACACCAGAGTGCAGTGTTAGATACAATCGTGTTGTGCTAAGGGTTCCTTGTAACCACTCTTTGATGTCAAAGTCTCATTATCCCTGTTCTAGAGATGAGGAAATTGAGGCACAGAAAGTTGAAATAATTTGTGCAGCATTGCACAAAGAGTGAGAGTGGAGAAAGGATCTAGATCCTGGCTTAGTGCCGGAGTCCATGCTCATAGGTAATCAACACACAGCCTTTCAGTGTGAATGAAAATGCAAAATTGATCACATCATTCTCCTGCCCAAAAGCCCTCAGTGACATAAAGGATTAGGAAAGTCATGGATCCTTAACCTGTTAGAAAACACCCCTTTGACCACTCTTACCAAATTGTCCAGCCTCTCCTTACTCTCTCTTCGCATTCTGTTCTCAGTGTTTCTGAAAATGCACAATAACCCTCAAGCCAGTGTGCATCTTATTTTTTCTATCCTGACATTGCCCTCTGCAGTCTTAGTCTCTGCTCACTTGTTGAGAAGGCTTCTCCCTACGCACTCCCCACCCTCTAGCTCTCAGCAGTCACAGGTAGGGTGTTCTTCACAATTCCTTTAGGACCTCTCCAACAGCCCTGTCCTTCTGTGTTGTCTGCACTGTCTTCAGCACTGACCTGGCCTATTTCTGCCATGAGATATAACTTGAGTTAAAGACTACAGTAATTTATTCCCAACATTATGCTTGATGTATTATTTAAACACAGACACAATATATTAAAACATATTGAGGGCAGGAAGAGCCTTGTGAATGATCAGAAGCACAGCAATGTGACAGCGTATTAGGGGACCTCCAGGTACTCCATACTCTGCATTATTGGTATTGGGTCTGAAATCTGTATAAATCACAGAAGCATAAAGTCAGATGAAATACAGATACAAATTAGCACAAAATATATTTCTCAGCCAGCAGAAACCAGAATAAGCATTAAATTTGAGATTACCTTGTTATGAGAATTATTTCATTGAGATTTTTGTACATTTTTAGGACTTAATTCTTTTTTTTAGAAAACGGAACTTCACATTATAGTTCATGCTTTTGTATAGCTTTTATTTTTCTAAGACTAATAAAATTTTACAGCACTGATGTGTTTTCTACCTTAGAAATTCAGAGCCCCAGGATAATAATATCAGAAACCGCCACAGGCCTTCATCAAGCTTTCGGGTTCTGACTCCACTGGCTCCCTGCCTGTGACTTTTACTACCCCCTAGTGGTAGTCGGGAGCATTATCATTTCATCGGCTGAACAAGAACTCTTGCACAGTATTTTTCTGGGTAGCTGCTTTGTGTTAAGACAAAATGCAAGTTAGTAGTAGCAGAGAAGGAGTGTTCAGTGTGGCTTAATGTATTGTGTTATATTTTCATTTTCTGAACGTTCAATTTAGGAGAGAATTAAAATTAAAAAACTGTTACTGGAATTGATGTGCCTAAAATGAGGCTTTCAGCAGCAACAGTGAGCAGCTTCTGTTGCCCTGTATCTGATACAGTGCTGAATGGCCCTTCGCAGACAACAGGGCATCCGGGGCCTGCCTTGACTGTTCTTGTCTTTCTTTCTCCAGTACCTAGTACAGTGCCTGGAACATAGATTTATAAGTGTTGAGGAATGAATGAAAAAAAAGAGAAAGAAATTGAAGACACCAAAACTTTAAATGTTAGCATTTTTCCTTGTAAAGGAATGGCTTGATTTTTAGTATCACAGAGATTTGGAAAACTAGCACATTTTAGGAGATGGACTTTTAAAGGATATAAAGGTAGTTTGTTTGCAGTGTTGCTTGTTGCTCTAACTGTAGCCTGCTTAGCTGTGTATTAAGTGGGAGGAATGAGGAGGCACAATCCTCTCTCAATTGATTGGATTGAAGTTGTTCTGTGTGGTCAGACAGCTTCAGTGAACCAGTTGTGACAAAGGATAATTTGTCACCTAAATCATCCAGAGATGAACTCAATTGCATAATATACTCTGCTAAGCAAATCTAGGTGAGGCATTAAAATTCAAATTTGGCATCTTCTCAAAATAACCATATAAGTTGGTTTGCCTGGGAAAGCCTTGGCTTACTCCTGGGGCCTCATGTAATTATTATTAGAACTACATTTATCTCTGCCTCCTCCCTGCCTCAGCTGCCTTCTCCCAACCAGCCACCAGATTGCAGTGTTAGATACAACAATAGCATTGTGTGCTTATTTAGATAATGAATATGCATAGTTAATATATTTGAAACACAGTTTTTCTATTTTTTAATTAAAATTTTGAAAAGTATGTAAAATCATAGCTGGGGATATAAGAAAACATTCATTTAAAAAAATACAGCTTTAGTTTGATTTTATTTACATACCATAAAATTCATCCATTGTAAATGTGTAATTGCATGACTTTGGGTAAACTTAGTTTTTTAACCAACATCACCATAAAGTTTTAGAGCAATTTCTTCATCTGAAAAAGTTCCTTTAGTTTCAGTTAATTCCTGCTCTTACTTCCAGTACTATGTAAACCACCAATTATATTTTGAAAATGTGCCCTTTTTGGATAATTAATATAAATGTAATTGTACAATATGTAGTTTTATTGCAACTGGCTTCCTTAGCATTATTTTTGAGGGTCAGGCCTTTGTTCCTTTAATGGTTGAATACTACTCCATTGTATGGATATATAGCATCTTGTATCAGTGATGGACATATGAGTTGTTTCCAGTATTTGGCTGCTATGACTAATCCTGCTATGAACATTTACATACATGTCTTTGTAGGTACATATATTTCTATTTTTCTTAGATTCCTAGGACAGGGTTTGCTGGGTTGTGTGGCAAGTTTCTGTTAAACTGTTCAAGTAAATGACAAACTGTTCTCCAAAGTAGTACCTTTTACATTTACCTCAGTAGGCTCAGAGTGTTTCTGCATATACTCACTAACACTTGGCAGAGGCTGTCCTTTTGATTATAGCCATCTTAGCAGGTACGAAGTGGTTTAAATTTGCATGCCCCTAATGACTAATGATGTTGAGAACCTTTTGTACTTATTAGTTATTCATGTATCTTTGGAAGAATGTCTATTTTTAGTCATTTACCTTTTTTTTTAAATTAAGCTGTTTGTCTTCTTGAGTTGAAAAAGTTCTTTTACATTCTAAGTGGAAGCCCTCTAACAGATATATGATTTGCAGATATTTTCTTCCAGTCCATAGTCTTCCAATTTTCTTCTTGGAGTCTTTGAAGCCTGAAGATGAATTCTGATAAAGTCCAGTTCATCAAAGTTTATTCTTTTATGGAGAATGTGTTTTGGGTCCCATCTATGTCATCATGATTTTTCATAGAAGATTTTATAGTTTTAGCTCTTTCATTTAAGTTTATAGTTCATTTTGAATTAATTTTGTGTGTGGAGGAGGTAAAGAACTAAATTCATTCTTTTGTCTCTGGATATCCAGTTGTCTTAGCACATTTTTTGAAAAGGCAATCCTTCCCCTACTCAATTAACTCAGCACATTTGTCAAAAAACAATTGACTGTAAATATAGAGGTTTATTTCTGGACTCTCAGCTCTTTTCCATTGACCCCAGTGCTCTCTTTGCATCAGTATGACACTGGCTCACCGTAATTTTATTTTTAAGCTTTGAAATCAGGTGCTGTAAGGCCTGACTGGAAAGACCTGCACTCTTGTCCCCAGAGATCTCAACTTTGTAGTAAAAAGTAATAAACCTTTTCATACCCTCTTGGTGTGTGATAATACTGTCAGTCTCAACATCCAGATCAAATTGGGGGCACACCACCAACTGCTTCTGCAGGATGACTGACAGTCCTCCAGCTTTGTTCTTCTTCAAAATTATTTTTCTAATTCTAGGTCTTCTGTGTTTTCATGTAAATTTTAGGATAACCTTGTTAATTTTTGCCCAAAAATCCTGTTGCATTGAATTTATAGATCATTTTGAGAATTGCCAGCATAAAAGTATTAAATCTAATCCATGAACATGGACTATTTCTGCATTTATTTAGACATTTAAATTTATTCTGCATCGTTTTGTAGTTCACAGCATACAAGTTTTGCTTTTCTTTTGTTAAATTAATTCCTAAGTGTTTTTATCCTTTTTGATCCTTTTGTGAATAAAGTTGTCTCCTTAATTTCATTTTCAAATTGTTCATGTTAGCATATCAAAATACAGTTGATATTTTGTATATTGAACTTGTATCTTGTGACCTTGCTAAACTTATTTATTAGTTCTAGTTTTGGTTTTGTGCATTATGTAAATGCCATGGAATTATCCACAGGGTTCATGTCATCTGTGGATAAAGGGTGTTTTTTGCTTTCTCCTTTTCAATCTGTAAATATCTTAAATTTGTTTTCTTGTTGCACAGTCTAGAATCTCCAATACAATATTGTATTGAAGTGGCAAGAGCAGACATCCTTATCTTGTTCCCGGTCTTTGGGGAAAAGCATTCAGTCTTTCAGCGTTAAGTATGATATTAGCTGTGGATTTTCACAGATTCCCTTTATCAGGTTGAATAAGTTTTATTCCTAGTGTGTTGAAAGTTTTTATCATAAATGTTCAGTGGATTTTTCAAATGCTTTTTATGTATCTGTTGATATAATGTGTAGTTTTTGTCCTATATTCAGTTAATGTGGTGGCTTAGTTAATTGATTTGGGGATGTTAAATCAATTGTTTACATCTGGGATAAATCCCAGTTGGTCATGTTGTATAATCCATTACATATGTTTCTGGATATGATTTGCTAATATTTTCTTGAGGATTTTTGTGTCCATGCTTATGATTTTTGTACCTATTGGTCTATAGTTTTCTTATTATGTCTTTGGCTCTGATACCAGGGTAATGCTGGCCTCAGTGGAAATGTTCCCAACCCCTCTGTTTTTGAATAAACCCTTCTTAAGAATATTATTTCTTCTTTAATGCTTAATAGATCCTCTAATAAAATGATTGGGCCAAAGATTTTCTTTGTGGGAAGATTTTTAATTACTATTTTTTGTTATTACTTGTTATATATAGGTCTATTCAGATTTTGTATTTCTTATTAAGACTATTTTGGTAAATAGTGTTCTAGGAATTCATCATTTCTTCTAAATTATCTAGTTTGTTGACATAAGTTTGTAATATTCCCTCATAATCCTTTTTAATTTCTGTTGGATTGGTTAGTGATTTTTTTTTTCTTAATTTCAGTGATTTGTGACTTCTCATTTCTTCTTGGTAATTCTAGATTGAGGTTGGTCAAATGTGTTGATATTTTCAAAGAACTGACTTTGATTTTCATGCACATTTCTCTCTGGTTTTTCTGTCTACCATTTCAAAACTATTTCTGTTTACCATTCCAATTTTTATTTCCTTTATTCTACTTGGGTTGGGTTTAAATTTCTCTTCTTTTTCATGATTGATTTTAGAGCTTTCTTCTTTTCTGATATAGGCATTTAAAACCATAAATGTTGCTGTAGGCATTGCTTTACAACATCTTATAAATTTTGATGTGTTCTATTTTCATTTTCACATATTACATGGCTTTCAGCAGTTGACTACAATGTGTCTACTCTTAATTTATATACTAATCGGTATCTGTTTAGTGTAGTAGATCTGTAGATTAATACTTCGCAACAAATTTGGAGAGTCTGGACCAGTATTCCTTCGAATATTTTTCCTGTCCTTTCTCTCTCTTCTCTCTTTCTGGGAGGCCCATTACATGTATGCTGGTGTGCTTGACGTTATCTCAAAGGGCTCCGAGCTCTAGTTAGTGTTGCTTAGTACTTTTTTCTCTGTTACTTACTCAGATTGCATAACCTCTGTTGTTCTATTCAGGTTCACAGATTCCTTCCTCTGCCTATTTGAAGAGGATTTGCCAATTTGAATACTCTCTTAAACCTATTCTCTAGTGAATATTTCACTTCAGTTATACTTTTCTAGTGTAGATTCTACTTATTCTTAAATATCTGTTCTTTTTTGTAATTTCTGTCTTGAGAACATCTCATGTCATGAGAACATCTGTTTGTTGATTTGCTGTCTGTCCATCATATCTTAAATACGGTTTTCTGTAGTTCTTTAAACATATTTATAATAGCTGCTTAAAGTCTTTGTCTGATAAATAAAATATCTAGACATACTCAGAGTCAGTTGTATTGAATTGTGGAGGGATTTTTTTCCCCTGAAAATAGTCACACTTTTCTGATTCTTTGCCATCTTATTATTTTTTTATTGAAAAATATTTGTTGACAATATATTGTAGCAACTCAGATTCTGATCTTCTCCCAGAGGTGGCTGTTATTGCTGTTTGTTTGTTTAGAAAATTGCCTGGATTTAATCTGTAAAATTATGCCCCTTATCATGCATGGCTACTGATATCTCTTCTCAGTATTCTTATTTTTAATTCCTTTATTTTTAAGCCTCACTTACTAGGGGTCACCCCTGTGCCTACATAGCTTAGTGGTAGCCAGTGATTGCACAGAGATTGTGCTCAGGTATCTTAACTAAGACTTCCATCCTCTGCTAACTGGTTATGTGTATGTATTGGGTAGCACACTCAAATTTTAGGCCCATTTCAAGTTTTCTCCAGCTTGTACTTTTGCTAAGCCTTTTCACATCTCTGCATACGCTCATAGTTTCAGGGTCAACCAGGAGTTTTTGCTGCTAGCTCGGGCTTTTTCAGGTCTCTGCTGAGTCTGCACACAGCTTCAGCCAGGCCAGGCACATGCCTGCTGTAGCCGTGGCCATGACCTAAAAGCAGCAGAGCTTCCAGCCCGTCCCACATGCACACTGCTGTTTGTCAGTTTACTGTCACATTGCTCCCACCCCAAATTACTGAGCTCCCTTCAACTGCCAGTCCTTACACCTGCCCTCCCCTAGAAGAACCTTCATGCCCATCAATTGGGTGTCAGGAGGTAGGGGAGAAATGGGAGCAGCTAGCTCTAGTCAAAAGCATGGGTGTTGTTGAACTCTGCAATTTTTCAGGCATAAGCACTTCTAGATTATTGTATACCTTCGACCACTTCCAAAGTACTGAAATGGCTAGTTGTGTTCATCTAGTCCAGTTTTATTGTTGCTTTTCAAGGAGAGGATTTATTGAGCACCTTCCTCACTTGACCAAAAAGGCTTTGCTAGCATTCACTTTTAAATTATGTAAAGCATACATAAAATTGTGTTCTAATTAAAAGTTTGGCTTTATTTTGGACTCCCAAATAATTCCAAGACATGATAGCCCCTGTGGCTCAGCTGCCATTAGCCCGACAGGTGGAAAGTAAGCCCAGAGACAGGAAGGCTTGGCATGCCCTTCCTCAGACACATTTCAAAGTGAGAAGGCAGTTAAACCACCCAGTTTCTCTACCATTTATAGTACTTTAATAGGCTGGAAAGTGAAGACTTGCAACCACTATTCCTTTATCTACTTATTTTACCACAAACTTAACCTGAAATACATGACATTTATGAGGTTGAGATGGGGGACACAACCTTTTCTTAAGATTCTTGGCCATTCATTCTCTGGTACCAGATTTGTTCCTGGCTGTCATCCAGGCAGACATTTTCATAAGAAAAATACGTGTATTTTGAAGTGTATGATCTGACAGGAGTAAGGCATCAGCAAGGCAGACTGCTTCCTTTGTGTGTGAGTAGGGATATCGCTGAACTACCACCTGGGTCTTCTCACCACTCCTTTTTTTGTTTCCCTTCCCTGATTGTGAGAGCAATACAGGCTTTTTTATAAAACTGTGGAAAGAACAAGTATGAGTGATCATCCGTCCTGCAGACTCTTCAGCAACACCAGTGTTGACACTTTAGTTCATCTCGTGCTGGTTCTGTGTTTGTGGTCTCACACAGTTATGGCCCAACTGCCTGTATTATTTATATCCTTTTTAAAAATGTACAAAGTGAGTTTCAGTTTGTTGGAGAAATTTTTGAATATCCAGAAACATATTAAATAACCTGGTTCTTTTATTCTAGTCTGATTTGCACATACATATTTAGTTTTTTATTTTTATCAAATATGATCCTATGGCATATACATACAAGTTTTTTTATTATATATTTCTTTTACTTTATAGCATATGTACTTTCCATGTGGTTATATACTATATAAACAATTTTAAGTGAATACAAGATAAATAGTCATTATTTAACTTCTCCTTGAAGACATTTAGATTTTTTTCCCTAATTTTTAGAGGGAAAATCCACATAATGGAAAAGGAGTAGTATTTTCTCAGACTACCCCTGAGTGGATGACTGGGCCAGATGTACCAATAACAGAAGGCTGACGAGGCCCTAACCCACAGCGGCTCTAACGCCGGGGAGCAAGCTTCTGGCACCACCCTAGGGGTTCGCAAGCCCTCCCCAGGCTCTCACTCACCGGGCCCAGCAATTGTTTTCATATATGTAGAATAAATTATTTCTGTCAAAGCTCAAAGTTACTTGCTCTTGAAAAACATATTCAAACTTATCAGCCAAGAAGTGGAGGAGTAATTAGCAGTAGATAGTTGTTTTTAATGGTTCGTAAGTGAAATTTGTTTTGACAGATTAGTGTGAGTGATAGATCCTACTTTACAGGTTTTCCTCCTACAAGAAATAAAGTAAAACATTATTTTACAGTTACAGTTTTGTTAGCCTAAATCTGTTGAAGATTAAATATATGTATTTCCCACTTACAATTTTATGCCTACATATTGTAGCTTTAAAGCAATCATTTGTTACTTTTTTTCCTTCCCCTTTCCTACCCTGTAGGATCTGAAGAAGAAGCTGAAGAAAAGCAGGACAGTGAAAAACCACTTCTAGAACTATGAGGACTATTTTTATTAAAGTAAGTGTTTGAAAATGAATATGTAACAAGAAAGTAGTTAAACACAGAGCACTTCCGCATTTGTGTAGATTCCAAGTAAAATTCAAAAAATATGAATGTAAGTATATAACCAGACTTGTCCTATTTATATGAATTTAAAATCACATTTTGTTAATATAAAATTTCTGAACATTTTCTGCATAAATGCAAATTTGTAAAGTATGAAAAATAGCTCAGAGTCCCAAGTTTCTTTCTTTTCCTTATTGAGGTAAAATTGGTAGAGAGCATTACGTACATTTCAAGGGTACACTGTCACAATTCAGTGTTCATATGCCCTTCACGGTGATCACCGCCGTAAGTCCACTCGTCATCCACACTCCTAAAGCATGAGGATGAGCTCATTTTGGTTGACGGAGCCAGGATGGCTCCGTGTCAGGTGTTGTTTCATTATAAACCCTGCCTTACATGTGCTGTGAGGGGGCAGTCCTGTGAGATGGAGGGACTGTGACAGTCTCCCCTCACCCCTGAGGCAGGTGAGCCGCTACATTGGGGAGTAACTGGTCCCCAGCTGCACAGCTCGCCAGTGGTAGTGTTGGGACTCAGGCCTGCCCTGCCGGGCAGGAGGGTCTGCTCTGCCGGCACCCATGTCCATGTTCAGGAGCTTTCAGGATGACACGTGACTCAGTCACAGTGTAGTTGCTTAATGTGCCTCAAAGTGGGACATGTTCTGTCCTTTCAGATCACCAAAGAAAAACATTTCAACCTCAGAAATGCAAGCAAACTAGCATAAAGTAAAAACAGAACTACAGGAGCAGCAGAGCTGCCTAAATCATTAAACCACAGAAGGGAAAGTAGTGGAGTCGTTGGGAGGCCAGCGGAGACAGCCAGGGTCGTGGCGATGGAGGCCCTGTTCCTGCAGCAGCAGTGCCAGCAGGCCTCGGCCCCTTCTTTCCACAACAGTGATTGAGACGAAGCAAAAATGTGGGCATGTAAAGAGGAGATCTTTTCAAAAATGCTTTAATCAAAACTCCCATGTGGGCACACCCAGGACCCTTTATGTGTCTAACACAGCCCATCTTGAGTACACAGGCTGTGTTATAAAACCATAAAAACACTCTCAAATATTTTTGTGTTCTCTCTTTATCTAAGTGTGAAAAACCCTCATTGGAAGTCACTGGAGGGGCAAAGAGGACTGGAGATGGGGTCTCCCTATTGAAAGTTGAAATGGTGACATCCCTGCTGACCTTACTGAACAGCTAATACAGAATTTATTTATTGTAATACCTCACATTGTACCATATTCATGTGCATTGAATAGCTTGCCTGTGGCTGGTAAGATGTCATGATCCATCCCTGATCAGTGAGACTGAGTCTGATCTGTAAATGAATAGTCGCAGAAAAGTCTTGTGCTGTGTTCCTAATCAGAAGACTTCTTAATATATTGGAGTAACACTTTCTTAGTAAGCAAAATATCTTTTTACTTTGTTTTGCAGAAAGGAATTTTTTGTTTCATGTCTCAGATTTCTTTTGTATTTCTATTTTAACACCCTACATTCCCCTTACATTTTTAAGTTCATGCATATGTACTTTGTACAATTTTGAAAAATAATAAAATTCAACATATCAGAGTGATTTATTTTTCTTGTTTTGCATTATGTATTTGGCCTGAGGTGATAGACTTACAAAAGAGGGATAGGAGGGATTGTGAATACTTGTAACATGTCACTGGATATTTTGTATTATTTTTACCATGAAATAGTATCTTTCTCTTAGAAGTATTGTTCTGAAATAGTCTGAGAACTCTTATTTTGAACCCACACTGTGAAATTGTTTCCATCATTTTCCCTCTGTTTGGCTAACTTGAATTAAAATGAACTATATTGTATTGTGAGCTACTTTTTTATTCATTACTCATGTGTCATTCAAGAAAAACCCAACTGTGCGTAATGCTAAGGGTACTGGTTTGGGTGGACACTGGCCGTTTGTACAGACCCATGAACCCCATCTGTGCTTATTGTAAGAATGGACCAAGGGACCGAAATGCAACTTGGAGGCCCCCTGGGAGGCCAAGGCCTAACCAGGAAGAGCATCTTATGGTGGAGAAAGGGGTGAGGAGGATCTCCAGTCTGGCCTTCAGGAAGAAGATCTCAGGACCTCATGGTGGTGTTGCTATTAGAATACCCTGTCCCAGGAGTGGAGTTTCATGCATGCCAAACCCAAGATGAGGCCCTCGCCAGACATCAGCACGCTAACTTAACCTGAGAAAACTTCACCTGGACGTGCTGGGCTGAACCTGTAGGGTGATGTGGCCAGTCCTCCTAAGATGCTGAAGTCGCCCAGAAGTTGGCTCACAGAGCCTAGATCTAGAAGAACAAAGTCTCTTACTTGAATGTGCTGCACAGTCAGACTGAAAGCCTGAAGTGTTTATCTCAATGACATTTATCCTTCTCCTTGGGACTGGGCAGATTGAGTCCATGGGGCTGGGCCCCCACCGTACACTGTGCACTTGCTCTTTATGCTCACATTGCTGAGCAGCCCCCTTCCAGTGGACCCCAGTCACACTTTCATCGGATGCTAGTGTCTTCTGCTAAGCCTTGTTCATGTTGACTCTGAAGTCATTTTGTCTCTTTAAAAAGACTTACATGATTCAGTATATGACATTCAATTGCACAGTTGACCTCAGGGCCTCAGTATGTCTCAGGGAAGAAGCTTCTCGCTGTTGCCCACGGCTCAGTCTGTCTATGCTGATAGGGTCACAGCATGGGTCTCGTGTCACTGTCTACACTGAGAAAATAAACCCAAAGGTACCAGCCTCAGGAAATTCAATACCATAAAAAAGCACAGATGCTTGGTGGGATTATCTTAGTGCTACGAGAAGGCCTGTGTGCTCCTTCCTTCAGAACAGTGGCCCAGGAGTGGACCTGAGGCACAGCATCTGCACAGTGCTGGTCCTAAGGTTCCTGACGCACATCGCAGCTCGCTGGAATGACCTTTGTACATAAAACATGGGGAACGCCCTGCCCACAGCCTGAGAGTGTGTTTGATAGCAATCATATGCGTGTGTGCCTGGGTATTTTCTTTCCATTAGCTGTGGCCTTTTGAAAGTGAGCATAGTTGTTTGTGGTTTAACTGCCCTTGTTTTATCTTATAACACCCTAGTTACCGCTCGCACAGCCCCAACCAGGAGGGGGCCAGTTTGACTTTGGGCATTTTCCACAAATCAACCACATTTGACAGAGTACGTAAACAAAAGAAGCCTGAGAAAATAAACCACTATTACCCACACGAGCGCCACCCCCGCCCCCCACGTTATCTCCCCACCACCACCTCACCACAGTTCTTCTCTGTCCCGCCCAGTTCTAGGGCAGCCCAGGTTGAGTTAGGGAAGGAAGTTGCTAAGAAGTTTGAAACCACAGAAGACAGCCTAATAGGGACCCTGCAGTAAAATCGGCCCCATAGAGCTCTCAGTGATTTGCTGGTTTCTCCTCTTTGCTTCTTTGCTTTCCCAATGCAGAAATAGTTCCAGATCTCTAAGAAAGGCTAGGTATTTGACCTAAAATTCATGAAAATCAAGGAGTAGATGATGTAAATTAAACTTCGCCTTTCTTGCACCTAGTGGGTCTTAACTTTGTGTACAAGTGGGGACCTCTACTTGGTTTCCTAAAATCTGTTTCACAGAAACTGAAGCTAATTGTAAGTAATCAAAAAATCCTTCCCAATTTTAAATGATACATTGTTTCAATTCTAATATATGAAAGTTATTACTTTGCAAGGGTTCACTAAAGACAGTAAAAAAAACAGACTTTTCACCCAGCTACTATACATTGAACATTTTGTTTTATACCTATGCCTGTAGAAATATGCAGGCACACATATAAATGAGTGCCAGACTTGTATTATTTATTTCTCAATATGAAAAATAGTCAAAGGCCATGAGCACATATTTCACAGAAAAAAATAGTCCTTAGCTATTTTCATATATTTAATGAAAAGATGCTTATCCTCACTCAGAAAAGCAAATTAAAACCATGATGATTTGCTCTTTTTCTTCTGTTGGATTAGCAAAAGCCTGACATTTGACAGCACTCTCCTGGCATCCACCTAAGTTGCAGTGAAAGTGTAAAACGGTACTTCCTCCCCCGGGGCAGACTGACAAGCCCTGTCAAAATAACCAATGCACATATTTGAAATGCCACGGGGCACTAGTATAATTTCAGCATTTCTTAAAATACCTAAAGATTGGAAATAAAACAATGGTCTATCACAGAAAACTGATGTTATAAAGTATTGTAATCCCCAGTGAAATACCATGCAGCTCACTGTCCCTATAGACAGACATACAGAGAGCTCTAGGATGAGTGAGAAGTGCAGAATAATATATATTTAAACTAGATTTGTGCGAGGGAAGAAATTAGGATACATACAGTGTTTGTGTGTATAATATGTATATATGTGTGTGTGTAAATTTTATTTGCTTAAATTAAAAGAGGAAGGATACATAAGAAATGAAAGTGTGACCTGTAAGAGGTGGGGGAGGTAGAGACAGTGGTTGAAGCAAGATTTCTTATGCATTTTTTAGTGTTTAGATTTAGATTTTCAAACAGTTTTGGTAGGGTCATGCTATGAATTCTTATCAACAATGCTTTCTGATTAATTTTACATTTCTTTAACAATCTACATTTTTTTAAAAGATGCATACCACTCCATCATTTTTTTTTTTTTAGTTTGTTTTTTAGTTTCTCTGTGGGCACTTGAGTTAATTTGGGGCTGCTATAACTGGTGATACAGTGAGTGCACTTCTTTGCACAGAAATCTTAGCACATACCTTTCTTCCTTTAGGTAGTTGATGGGTCAAATGGTAAGAAGAATTCCCAGATGAGGCACATTCTACATCATGTAAAGAGCTCTTTTGGCACCTGCTGCCTGAGATCTGAGCAGCAGCATGGAGCTCAGGACTGGTTGAAGCACTTGCTGGCCCCTTCCCTGGCTGCACATTAGAATTACTGGGGAGTTTTTTTAAGATTCAATGCCTTTTAAAAAGTTATGTTTAAGGGTGCCCACAAGGAGAGCCACTGGAGGATGGGTAAAGCAGCAGCATTCGTGTCAGGCAGACCAGGGTCATGTGGACTCCAGCACTACCCCCAGTTGAACTTGGGGCACATTTCTGAGCCTCTCTGAGACCCAGTCTTCTCATTCCGGAAATGGGCACAATACTTGGACTGTGGTACCGTGCAGGCATTCAAGGGCATAAAGCATGCAAACTGCCTAGCAGAAGGCCTGGTGCTCACTCAGTGGTGGGTACTTGCTATTGTTCTTAGAAAACAAAAACCAAATGAACAAAAAGCAGAACATGACAGAGACCACACCTTTACCAGGTACGTTTTCCTGGCTAAAGAGAAGGAGGAACTTCTGGCTTTTTGGTTGGACTCTGTCATGCAGCATAGTGTCTCTGCTTCTCCCTTCTTACTCAGAATTTCTAATTGGCAATTACATAGGCCTAAAGAACTGTGACTTAATTACAGCCCTCAGACAATGAAGTCTATGAGGAAAAGAGTTCCAAAAATAGAATTCCTAATAGGGTAGAGTGAGACTTACTGCCTTGAAATCTATTTTTATTTATCTGAGGAGTCTGTGGAGCACTCTAGCCCTATAAAGACTTGAGTGTCTTTACGTGGAATTGTCTACCTCTTTGTCTAGCCTTTCCACTGCACACCTGTGGAGGCAGCCTGTTCTGATATTTATTTTATCCAGCCAAGTGCCATGGACTTCAACACACAAGTCCTATTGCTGGGTGGTAGTCAGTGGATAAGAGTCTTCCCAACATGTACACTGTGTGGCAGAAGCCAGTAGCCCCCTGATGGTAAGGGCAGCACAGGAGCAGGGGGGGAAATGTGGACAGGGAAGAGGCACGTCAGCAGCTGATGGGGAAGTTAATAGCAGGGCTCCGGTTGCCAGACACGTGGGCGCAGATGCCAGCTCTGCTGTTCATGACCTGTCTAGCTTTGGGGATGCTCCTTATATGCTCTCTTCTGCCTTAGTCTCCCCATCTATAGAATGGAGATACTTGTACCTATCTCAGTGTTCTTGTGAGAATTCATCAGGAAACAGATACTCAGACCAGTATCTGTCTGACCTATACCAGAGTTTGCTGTTACTACTCCATGAGGATGTTGAATATGTAAATTGGGCTGGATATCTGAAATAATTTAATCTGACCATTTCTTCTGAAGATGGGTAAACTTAGGCAATGTGACATGGTCAAGAGCAAATGACAGCTGGTCAGAGCCAGACTGAGTAGTTGAGGATCTAACTGTGGGGTGTAGGTGGAACTTCTGGCCCAGAGTTCCTCCCACCACATCTGGCAGTCGTGCTGTGGGGAAAGCACAGGGCCAGAGAGGACATATACTGCCTCCCACCACCTGGCAGTGCACCTGGGCACACCAGGGCCTCCCAGGGCCTTCCTCAGAGTGAATCTGAGGACATCAGGGTCCAGTGAGTCCAGGGGAGGAGTGGGATGTCAGAATGCTACACCCAGAGCGCCAGCGATGGTCTGTTTCATTCCACCCCCACAAGAGCATGTGCAAACCAGGACACTCACAGAATAAGTGAAATACAACATATAATATAATAAAACATAATAAGCTAGACTCTACATAACAAGGGGAGCGATCATGGTAATAACACCAGAGCATATAGATGAGGAGGAAATGTAGGTGTGCCCAAGTCCTCAAGAAAATCTCACAGACCCCTAGGAGGGTGCCGTTAGTAAAGATCCAAGACATGCATGTTTGTTTTATTTTGTTCAGTTTGGTTTTTCCTGATTGAGAGTGAGCAAAGGGAAAGCCAAATAATACTAAGTTACAAAACCTGGGCTGTGAGTTCTGA